AAAATAATCAACAATAATTTGACACGAATTTTTACTAAATTAAATTGAAAAATATTTATTGTATAATTGTAATTGGGATGGATTTAAAGTGAATTTCTTTCATTTCTGGCGCAAATTCTTTCATTCGAACATTTCCGCCACTTTTTCAACATTTCATCATTTGACAATCTCTTATTTGCATACTTCAAAACATTTGTAATTTGCAATTCTGATATGATTTTGTTATATTCTGTGTAAAAATTGTAACAAATAATTTTTTTTTTCATTGATTTGATCTTTTGGAAATATTTCATTATCTAATTAGTGATGCTTATTTAAGAATTATAAGATGGATATTAGTGTAAAATTGGTTTACCGTATATCAAGGTTTAGATACATTGAAGTTGGAAATGTTCACGACATCTTAGTAGCGGATAAATGCAGAATTCAAAATTCTGTAAGTTTGGTTTAGAGATATAAAATTTCTAAGAGATATAAAATATCTCTTTGATGTTACATAGTTTCAATATGTTTTAATCGGAATTAATCAACTGTAATACGATCGAAATAATTGTTTTCAAATCCATTTCAAAAGTTTTCTTTTTTAAGTGTTGAATTAAAAATTTTTAAATGGTAACTTTTCTGAGATGAATGAAAAATTTTGTTTTCTTGCAATACTAAAATTAGAATTATACAAAATTTGAACTGAATTTATAGAAGCTGTTGTTGTTTTTTGTTGGATTTCCCACAAAACATTAACATATTCAAAGTATTTAAATTTAAATATTTAAGCATGAATTTAAATATTAAAGTAAACGTGTGATTACTTCTCAGTAAGACCAAATTTATGAAGTAATAAGAAAGTCACATTAATTCATAAATATGAAAGAAAAAGGTAAATTTAATTAGATTTTATTTACCTGTACTAAATTGTGAACCCAAAACATTCACACAACCAAATCTTTTTTGCTATATCTTTCAATTTTTCGGCTCTATTAGTGCAATTCAATTACTAGATGGTTTCCGGTTTTCCTGAAATCTTCTTGACCAGCTTTTTCATGCAACCGAATTGCAGAAATTTCTCAATTAGAGCATTTTTCTACAATTCATCTCCCAATGTCACAACCATTTATGCTAATGTTTCATTTTACTTTTAGAATTTTCATTAATAAACCTTCAATATTTATCATTTTAATTATACTTTTGCAGTGGAATAAAGTAAAATTTAATTTGAAATATAAATTCAGGAGTGGAGCAGATATTACAATTACAATTTGTCATCAAGATTAAATTGTGACAAATGTCAACTGATTTGGATTGATACAAAAAATGGACAATCGGATAAGCTACGAGAGATGTCAAACATTACGAAATATCAACAATAATGATTTAATTATAAAATATCAGCAATAAAAGATTTAATTACTAAAAAAAAAAAAGGATGATGGAATGTTTGAAATTTTGAGGAAAACATTCTATTCTGCTTGCATTCATTTACATTTATTTCATTTTAATTAAATTTTTAAATAAAGCAATTAATTGTCAATTTATTATTCTTCAAATCTGAATAAAAAATTATTCCTTTGTACATTTTCTTTTTTCTTTTTTCAAAATAGAAAGGTTAGAAGAGAAGAGAGAGAGAGAGAGAGAGAAAGAGAAAGAGAAAAGAGGAAGGAAAGAAAAATTGGATTTTATTATGTTAGTAAAAATGCTTAAAGAAAAATGATAATTATGAATATAAATCAATTGTAATTGCGGTGTTATACTTCTTAGCTTAGCGACCCAATTTGATGTCCACTTGGTTCAATCAAATTTGATTACAAAACATCTGCGTATGTCAACTAATTTCTTTTTTTCTTTTTCTTTTTTTTTTTTTGTTCTATACATATTTTATATATATATATATATGCAAAAAACCAAAGACAATCTTAATTTTCATTAATTATTGGAAGTAATTTAAAATTGATTTACAATACTTAATCTATTCATTAATTTATTTGAACATATTTGTTTGCTCATTTATTTCCTCTTTTTTATTTATTATTCAATTTTATGCTTTCTCATATTTCAAATAAAATTCAAAATTTTATTTTAAATTATTATTTCATTTGTTATCAATTCAATTTACACCAAAAATAGGATCATGATGACAATCATACCTGTTTACAAACTAATGCTAATCGTTTGGCTAATTTGAAACTTAAGCTAGATCCATCAAAACTTTTCATCTGTTGGCAATTTAACAAATAATTTTGTTTTAAGGCGTTTTTAAGGCTCTCGTGATGTTTTAAATTAAAATGTTTTTTTTTTTTGCAAATTTTAAATATATGAAATTTCCAGATAATTCTAATCTTCTTGTTTCATTATATTCTTCTTATTTCTTCTTTTTTCTTGCTTTTTTTTTTTTATTAAATCTATCAACGCCAAATATGATTGATTACTTCGTATAAAAATGCTGTCAACTTTTCGGTCAACCTCATCGCTGTTATCAGAAAAGTTATTCATTGAATTTGTTCATTCTCTCTTATCATTTTATCTTTACATTCATATTATTTTTTGGCTTTTTTTTTTCTTATCTAACAATGTCAAATAAATCCATGCATTGTATAAAATGTTGTCAACTCTTCTGTCAACCTCACTATTATAGTTAGAAAAAGTTGTTTATCAAATTTGCTCATTTCTTTATCATTTTATTTATCAAAAAATTATTCGTTTTTTTTTTATTGTTTTATTTAACTGAAATGTAGTTGACAATAGAAAATTTCCACAAATTTCATACTTCCTACCCTAATTATTTGACCGTATTTATTTTCCAATTATCAGCCAATTTAGAATATTGAATAAACAAAAATTGTCATAACCATATAAGTGATCATTGCCAGGTTGTGCTTAGTGACAAAAAAGGAAAATAAGGAGCTAGAAATTTTGTTTCAATTAATTTTTGACATAATAAAAATTTCAATAAACATTTGAATTTGCTAATTTTACCTATTTCGGCAATTTCGGAACAAACAATTGTCTTTTCCAATTGACTGAATTGTATTTTGAATGAGAAATACAATATTAAATGATAATAATATTTATTGTTTGTTACTTTTTTAATGCTAAAATAATAGCAATATTGATTGATTTTTATTTTCTAATATTTTGAATCTATTGCACACATATTCAGTTTTATTATTAGTTACAATATTTATAAGGATTATATCCTTTTGTTTAAAGATTGACAAAAAAAAAAGAAAAAAGAAATGGAGGAAAAATTCGAATCATTTCGGATTTTCATATAATTGAATCGAATTAATCGATATTTCGGAAAGTATGAATTATCCGGATTGAGCTAATTGTTCCACGGAATGGAATATAGATCGATTCCTGTTACGTTGTGAAATATTATTGATAGCATTTTCAAGAATTCTTGCTTTCCTTCCCGCTTCATCCAGACGTTTAGCTGTCCTTTTTAGAGCTTTTTTTGTTATTGTAGCTGGTAATGCAACACAAAATGCCCCAGATGATGAACTAAAAAAAAAATTAATTAAAAAAAATTAAAATTGATATTTCTTTTCGATCATTAATTTCATATCCATTTCTTTTCACCAGAATTAATAAAAAATTAATTTAATGGGTGAACTAAAAGAAAAAAAAATAATTAAAAGAAATCAATAAAAAATTAAAATTGATATTTTTTCGATCATTAATTTCATATCCATTTCTTTTCTTCAGAATTATTTAATGAATATACGATAAATGTGTATTCTTTTTAGCAAGTAAAAATTACAAACTGATCGATATTTAGGAAATATGTAAATTCATTCATTTTTATTTTTAATATTTTAGAATTTAATTATAAAACTTGCAACTTACTTGCTTTTAATTGGTAATGGACGCAACGGTGTCACTGATTGATGTGATGAAGCAGCTTTTCGTAAAGCTATCAATGTTGTAACTGAAATATTGGATGATTCTGAAATTAACTGAATTTATAATTTAATACTTTAATCATAATTAATTTCAAATATATTAGGATAGTTTCCGTTTCTTTTTCGCTGAACTTTCTGTTTTAATTCAGTAATCATGTGAATGTGATAGTCTTCTAAATTGTCAAATTAACAAAAATCGATAAAATTCCAATGAAATCGAAATCAAAAACTGATAACAAATTTCAGATGTCAGTAAATATTTAAAAATTATCCTTTTTGATTGACCATTTCAAATTTCTCAGACTAAAATTCATCACTTATTTTAATATAATTCTTTTAAATTTTTAACAGTGATTTCTAAACACCAAAAGCGTTTTATTGCTTTCGAGTTATGGTTTCCAATCATTTCTTGACCAGTAACTTTGTAGCAATGACCACAACCCTGTTTTCTATTCATTATGCTATCACCAGTTGTGGATCATATTTTAGTTCGTGGAGCATTGTCCAGTTGAAAACCATTACTGGTTCGCAAGTACTAAAATTTGGATCGCAAAAATTATTCGCAAAGATTACCGCAAGGATTACTCCTTTTTTATATTACAATGTTACTCCAAGTTTAATTAAATAAATTAAAAGTTTTGATTAAAATATATTTTTAAATTATAACAGAATTTATTACCTTTTAACCTTGTGGTAATTGCTACAAATAAAAAAGTTAAAGTGGTCCTTGGTCAAGAAAAGATTGAGAATCATTGCTGTAGAGAGAAGAAAGGAAGTATTACGAATACCTTGTACTATCAAGAAGTTGAATTATGTTATTTTTTAATTTCAAGAAACCAATTTCATAAAAGCTAGAAATGTATGTGAAAGGAATTTAAATCATTTAAACGAGAAGTATTGAAATTTAAAATTTCGATGAAAGGAGCAATAATTAAGTATTATCAAAGCATTTTTAAAAATAAATGCGTCAAGTAAATTGGAAGCCAAATCGGCTACAATATTAATTAACTAAGCTAACATATATAGTTGAAATGCTTGAACAAGACCTCAGTTGACAAATGACATTTCATCTACCATCGAACTATGTAACTATTAGATCTGTTGCATAAAATGACCATAACATTTCGACCAATGTAACATATATAATTGAAATACTTGAACAAGATCAGTTGACAAATGACATTATCAAACTATGCGGCTATTGGATCTGTTGCATAAAATGACCATAACATTTTGACCAATGTAACATATATAATTGAAATACTTGAACAAGATCAGTTGACAAATGACATTATCAAACTATGCGGCTATTGGATCTGTTGCATAAAATGACCATAACATTTTGACCAATGCAAATTTAAAGTAGTAAATTGAAATTTGTTTTAATTTTTCATCAAAATTAAACGATTTCAAATTCTTCGGAAATCATTTATATGAAAAATGTGCAATGAAAAGAAATGCAAACTTTTAAAATTTGCAGCATATGAACAATAATTTTCTGTTTAACAAATTGTTCTTAAAAAAAAAAGAAAAGAAAAAAAAGAAAAGAAAAAAAAGAACCAATTTGTCGGTTGTTAAAAGCTTTGATAATATTTATGTATCGGACAACAGAAAAGCTAATAGCAATACTTTCCTGACTTTTTTTTTTTCTGAATTATATCACTAAATATACATGTGTATATATGTATGTTATCAGTAAGATCAGCTTATCAAATAACTCTTAAACTTAATGATTATATTACAAATCAACAACAAATTATTTTTTATCATTTTTTTTTTTTGAATATATCACTTTGCGCCACTATTAGCAACTTAATATCGTTTATTTTTTCTTTTGAATATTTAATGTTAAAAAAATGAATGATAAAATTTTTGTCAAACTTTTCAAAAATTTATAAATTTGTTTTTATGAAAAAATTGATAGGAAAGATTTTTTTTTTCATAAATAATGAAAAATTTTACACGAACGTTAAGGGAAGAATCGAAATGAAGTATCAGAAATTAGAACTTCTAATTCTAGACTTAAGAACCTATTTTATCTGTAATAACTTAAAAGATATTTCAGATAAAGTAGGTTCTTAAGATTTTGCTTCATTTAATTAAGTTTAAATTCAGTTTAATCTTTACCATATTTTTTTTTTTCATTTCTCATATGTGATAGGGAACATGTCACTCTTTCAAATGATCAACTATACTTTGGTTAACTTGTCAAACTTGATTGAACCATTTTTGAGTTACGTAAACAATTAAGGTTAGAGTATAGTTTACAGGCAAGATGAACTGGAAAATGACCTGAATCAAATTAGGTTCACAACAAAAACAAAGTTATTCCATTCCCAAAAAAAAAATTATTTTCAAAAAAACCGAAATATTCAAATTTTCATTTAAAAAAAAATGGTAGTCTTCCTACTATTCATTCACGCCCGATTACGTTATGGCCATAATATTAGATGCAGCGTACAATAAAACAGTAATTATCCGGAAATTCCGAAAATAAGCTTGAAGAGAACTATCCGGAATTCCGGTATGAATTTTTTGGTTGAAATGGTCCTTCTAAAAGTTATTTCACTATTTAAGTTATAACTGAAAAGATCGATCATTTTTGTTAAATTATCCGCAAATATGAAAATTTATTACGGATATGTCATAGCCCTGAAATTTAAATTTGAAATCCTCCTTTAATCTTAATGAGTTAAGCAAATTTTCTTGACAAAGTTTTGCAAACTCATGCACAAAACTTAAAGTTATCTTCAAAAAGAAAGTTTTAAGCCTGAAAAATTTGAATTAATCCTTCCTAAATTTCCAAAAAACTTTTAAATTTTTTTTTGCGAAAACTTTTTTTTTCTTTTGGTGCAAATATATAAACTAGTTTTTTCAAATTTTTGGAAATTTTTCAACCAAATAAAATCGATTAATCATTAGGTTTTAATATTAATTATTAAGAAATTTAACATTAATCTGATAATTTGATGCTGATAAATAGTGGCGCAAAGTGGTTCATTCAAAAAAACCACAAAATGATTACGGTGGTGGAGAGTGGGAAGGGAAGAAATTCTGAAACGAAAAAAAATTGAGGAAGGAAGAAGTTGGCTATTTTGACCATTTGTTATGAATTCTTCTACGACATGTGGTTTAAATTTTCCAAATATAAAAAAAAAATAGTAAAAATTTTAAAATAACAATGAAAAAAAAACCTTTTTCCGCTTTTTTTCTCTTTTTTCTTTTTCTTTTTTTCTTTTTTTTTTGCTACTCAAAATAATCATTTTGACATGAAAATTTACACTAAAAAATCCTTTTTTTTCTTATTTTCTTCCCATTTTTTTTTTCATTAATGAAATTGCAAAGTAAAAACAATTACATTTTAATTAGAGAGAGAGAGAGAGAGAGAGAGAAAAAAAA